GACAACCAGGCATTCTTCAATAGGGCTCAGGTTGAGTAGACTGTGGTTCAGACCAGCAGTGATAGGAAGCCATTGCCAGGGGGACTTGGGAGACAGGTGAAAGCAGGTGTACAGGCCCATGCTATGAATGGGGCAATCATAGGGACACTTACACCTTGGTATGTGCTTAGACCACTTCAGGAGAAAATCAGAGGAAGGTTGTGATGTGCCTGCCTCAGGGGAGAGGACCATGGCTTTTCATTATCTACTCATTTGCACTCAGCACCTGCATATAATGATCTTAAAAATTATTGCTGATCCCAAAGAGCTTTAGTTTACATGGCTTCACTTTATTAATATTTACCATGTTAATGGAAGCTAGAAATTTTGAAAACACGGACATTTCATCATACATTAGAGCACATGTGTCAAACACAAGGCCCGCGGGCCAAATCCGTCCCGCCAGGCCTTGCAATGTGGCCCGCACCGCGCTGTCATCACTGCACTCCGCTGCGTTTCCATCACAATGACAGTTTATGACTGTTCAGTAAACCATTCGGCCCGTGATTTAGGCTGGATTTTAGATTTTGGCCCCTTCTCTGATTGAGTTCGACACCCCTACATTAGAGCATTGATGATGTCAGAGCATCGTGCAGACTCTGGAAAACGCCACTTGTACACTAGTGAGAGATTAAGCGGGAAAAGAAGAGTGATATTTTAGTATTTTTAGGAAAATAATTTTCCCCCTCCCTCCACCCCTTCCCACTCTCTGGATCACACTTTGAAAACCACTGTTACATATAATAATGTGACATAGATGGTGAAATGATGTTACTAGATGGTAACAAAATCAAGTAGACAAGGTCTCTCAACACCAGTGTCCCAATTAAATGCTATGAGTTGGTGTCATCAATAATTTTTAAGACCATTATATGCAGGTCCCTAGTACAAATGAGTAAATAATGAAAAGCAAGTTCCCCCTCCCTCTCACTGATGACAGAGAACAGCGGGCACTCTCGGTCCCCTCCTGTCACCTTTCTCCTCCCTCGGCTGAGTGCGTGCATGGGACTGTGAACAGCAGTCTAGGAATGTGGCTTCACCCAGGTGTCTTGTTCCTGGCCTTGGGGGCAAGCATGTGACCACCTGGCCTCGCAGCCCAGCCTCAGCCTCCTCCTCAGGTGATGCTGACAGGATTCATGGGAGCTGGCTTCAGAGCAGAGCTTATTTGGAAATGGGTTTTGGGGCCTGAAACTTTTGAGAGATTCTGCTCAGCAGCCTGGATGGTAGCAGAGCTGAGGGAAAGCACCTTGCTTTAATAACAGACTGTCACAAGGGCTCCTAGGCTTTGGGGATAGTTTGAGCCCAGGGATGTGAAATGGCTCTTATTATCTCCATTGTACAGATGAGGTCACTGAGGCTCAGAGAGGTAGTTCACCTGCCCAGGGTCACACAGCTAGTAAGTTGTTGAGCCACACTCTATTCTGTCTGATTGATGCCCAGGGTCTTAACCAACCAGCAATTCTGCCCAGGAGCCCTCACCTAGAAGATTCTCTTTAAGTTTCACTTCCTTGCCCCACCCATTTTGGAAGAAAGCATCCAGAAACACCTTAAAAATGTGGTGAGGCCAGAGCTAGGACCTGCGCCTTTCTTTGAGTTCTTAATGAAGTTTTATGCAGGTAATTCTATACAAAATGAATCAGACCTAGTCTCACTACTCCCATTATCATCCTTGGGGAAGTAAGAAATTTAGTGCTCCAGGAGATGTGGGTCTCAGAGTCATGCTCAGAGCAGAGCTTATTTGGAAATGGGATTTGGGGCCTGAGACGTTCAGCTCAGAGTCATGAATGAGAGACATGACAGTTAAATTGACTGATTCTCAAAGTCTCTGGACTATGTCTTCCCTATGGTTTGCTGTGTGACCTCAGCAGATCACTGCCTCTCTTTGTGGCCTTTAGTTCATGTATAAAAAGGTTTGGATGAAGAGTTTTTCTCCTTAAACCAACATAAAAAATTCCCCCAGTTAATTCCACACACCATACTATTAAATTCCAAATTTAATATGAGTGATGAGATGGAGTCTGATTTGGAACAGAATTACATACAAATAACCTTATCAAGAATTCAACATTGACTAGTGGAATGTTAGTTATTATTATTTCTTTTGTTGATTATTTTTCTTGGTGTAATTGTTTTTTTGACGAACTTGTGCAAGGAGATGGCACAGGCCTGCACTCTGTATTTGGTTTTCACAGTCTGTGTATAAACAAGGCCATTTTAATTTTTATGTTTTGCACAAATATTCCAAGGCTTTGTCAGTTTCTCCAAAAGCTTCAGCTCAATTCTTTGATATTCAAATGATCTCTTTTGAAGCACCTAGCATGTCATCACCTTGGATTTTTCTCTTCACTTGTTAGCTTTCCCAGATGCTCATTTATTAATGGCTTCACTTGTCTGATTGGAGCGGTTTGCCGAGAACACTTTCATCCACTTCACAAAAACTTTTGCCCTCGCTTAGCATTTTTTGCATGTACACTGTGAAAACAGTCGACAAAGAGCATACCATTTTTAGCTTAGGGGAACTGCCCCGTGCAGAAAGGGAAGTGGTGGCTGAAAAAGGAAAGAGATGTGGAAAAGGAAAGGTGGTCAGTTCCTTTGGTGAATACTTTCCTGTAACGATGACGCTCTTTTCTTTCTGCAACCTCAAAACCGAAACTCGGGGAGTGAAATGCTCATGAGACAAGGCCCATGGGAAAGCACTCAGCCAAATATTTAGAGGGAGAAAAGCAAATAGGTCTCACCCAGTGTGCCAGCTCTCATGGATTGCCAGTAATTGTCGGGAACATTGTATTAAGAAGGATCCTGAGGCTCTTTTCAGCCTTACTAGGGAAGAGTACCACAAGTGATCAGCGATGTCTGATGATGATGATGATGATGATGATGATGGTGTGTGTGTGTGTGTGTGTGTGTGTGTGTGTGTGTGTGAGTGGGGGTGGGGTGGGATGGGTGGGGGGGTGTTCAAGTGGCAGTCCATGTGCTGACATACTCCGCACTAAGTACTCAGCAGTTGCCAATTTTTCTGCCTTACAGTGTGGCAATGCTGGGAGGGATATAAAAATAAAAAATTATGATCGTTATTCAGAAGAATTCACTGTCTGAGAAAAGATAGAATGAAAACAGCATTGGTTGATTATTTCCTCGGGTGACACCTGCTTGGCTGCATGGGCAGCTAGGGGGGTAAAAAAGGAGCCTAGTGCTTATTGAGAACAAACAGGACATTTTTGTTGTGACTATTTTTGTTTCTCTCTGCTTTCATGCAATTGTGGAATGTAAAACAAGGAAGCAGGATATGGCAGAAATGTTACCTCTTTTTGTAGCTCAGGGTCTGTAGTTAGAAAGATTTGTACTTAATTCCAGCTCCAATATTTATTGAATGATGGTGGAAAAGTAAAGCTGCCCAGAGAGACCTCAGTTTCCTTACCTGCAAAAATGGGAATAATCATAGCATGTGCCACATTGGATAGCGATGAGCACTGTGTGTGCTCACAGCAATTTCCCCCGTTCTGAAATGGGGGTAGCAAGTTTCTCTTCCAGGAAAGTGTGTGATGCATAATCAAGGGTAATGCATGCGAGTGTTAGGAGCTTGAGGGCCACCTAACCCATACATCAAAGTCCTGCCCCTAGGTCACTCAGAGGTCACCCAGCCAGAGAGGGAACATACAAAAGAAGTCAATGAGTTAGTGGGGTTGCATCTCAGAATTCTCAAGCTCTCTCTTTCCTGCTTCTCTCCAGGAATGTGGTCCTTGCTCAAATAATACTCCCATTCCCACTAACTATCTTAAAAGTGAATCAGAAGATACCAGGAAATACAGCATTCTCAGCATGCCTAACCTTTGCTGAACTCTCTTAAATGCTTTTGTTTGAGGCAAAGTTGTTTTAATTCAAATCTATTCTATTTTTCAGTTTCAACCTTCTCTATTTCACTCAAGCTAAGGGTGTTATTTATTCTCCAGCCTGGGAGAGAGACTCAAGCTCTCTTGGTTTCATTTGCACTGAGAAAACCCAAACAACGCAAAAAAGCAGGGAGGGTGGGGAGAGAGAGGGAGAAGATTAGTTATTTTTTAGCCTGAGAGTCAATGGGTTGTTTGATTTACCATTTCATTTTGAGATTTTTCTTATTGACATGAAGAGTTAGATTTTTCAGGGGTGAACAATGAAATGACTCAGAAGCAAAGGAGAGTGAAGATTAAACAGGTCACAATGAAAAGATATCAATAATGACTTTTGCAGTCCAAAGGATAGTAAGATAAATGATATGAGCATTGATCACTCCCCTAACAAACTGTCGGTGAACACTGTTGGTAAATCTGGCATATCTGGTTCACTTGTAATTCCATCTTCAAGTGTGGGAGCATTAATTACAGGGCAGAATAGAAGGAACTGGGAGAGGAGGGGAAAGGGCATCCTTGGTGCATGAAGGCGACGATATCAGGTTTAAGCATCATCTGGGCTCTTGAGAGACAGACCTGGCATCTACCAGTCCAGGCTCTGCCACTTCCTAGTAGGACATTGAACCATAACTCTCAACACCTTAATCTTCTCAACTGCAACACACAGATCATAGTGGTGCTGTTATTAGGCAGGCCAGGCTGCTCCGCTTCCACTAAATAATGAGAAATCAGTTATAACTAACACTTAGCATCCTGTAGTTCACTATTCCCATTTCATTGGCTATGGCCACCTGGTAACCAGAATAGCCAAGATTCCAGCACAGCTTTGAATGAACAAAATGCCTTTCTCGGTTCAGTTCACCTCACTGATCTTAGGGGTTGGGGCTGTAGGTACCACGAGGAGTTGCTGCTCAGCCAGGCTGAAAGCAGTCATTCTCGGGCAGCCCTGGTGCAGCCTCTTTGGGAAAGTAAGCAAAAGGAAAATCACGTAGGTGGCATATACTACCAATCGCAATTTTCAGAAGGTGCCATTACCCTTTGGTAATTGGAAAAATAAGTATTTTTCCCTCCCTCTTATATTGCTTAGGCTTCTTGTGCATGATTTGTAGGGGCCTTGGCCGTCCATGCACATGAGCATGTAGAGGGGGAGGTGCCTCTTGGTCTTTGAGTCCTGGAGCTGAAGCCGGCCTGGTCCTCGGCTTCTCCATGACCACATACGCTAGCTCGCTGTGGCCTGGGGGCTGTGGTTAGTTCCGCTGCCCAGTGAGTGGAAGTGAGCACTGGCTATAACATTACTGCTGGAGCTTAAAGCCAGCCAGTGCTCAGCTACCCAACCATCTCAGCTCTTTTTGCCTAACTTGCTCTGAAGCAGTGCTTTTAAAATTTTAATGGGCGTAAAACTTCCAGGGATCTTGTTTTCAGGCAGATTCTCATTCAGAAGCTCAGGGTTGGGGTCTGAGATTCTCAGATTGTATTGGGCTCCGGAGGGGGTGTCAACACAGCTGATCCTCAGACCACACTTGGATCCACAACAACAACTTAACCAGCTTTTCTGGCCAGGCCAACATGGAGCAACTTGAAGCCATAGAGTTAGTTCTAAAAGAGAGTTAATAAAATAATAAAATAATAGACTGTAACCATGCACAAAATAGTTTACTGAATAGCTTGCTCTTTAAAAATATTGCCCCCCAGCCTCTGAGAATGCATTGAGAGTCAGCTGCCATGCCAAGATTTTTTTCTTTTCTGGATTTCCAGGTGTGTTTTATGTTCTCATATGCTTGTATTAGTTTTTACCTAGTGCTTCATATCTGGGTTTCTCAGAGAGCAGTGCTTCTAATTTGATCTCCACGTTAACCATCGACTGCTGATGGATGGCAAACGAGGCTGACATTCTCCTGTGTGTCTCACAGTGAGCTCTGGCCTTGGCAGCTGTCTGTAGTGGAGATGTTTGGCTCATGGAACCATGTTTTCCTGATCAGGGGCTTGGCGTCCCCTCTCGGTCACACGGGTGAAAGGCCCCATCAGCCTTGACTGCTCAGGCTCTCCTTACTCACAGCTTTCTCTGTCTCGTTGTTTCTGCAAATCAACCAGATTTGGCTATCAGCAGGCACTCTGGCACATTACCACCAGCGTTTTTCATATTTTCACTTCCTTCCTAGCAGATCTAAGCAGCTACTGGCCTGCTTCTGCCAGGCAGACGTGAACGTCCTTTCTGGAGGAGGCATGGGAAGTTCAGTTACTTCAGTCATTTCTTTTAATGGCACCCTCTTTCCTCCCACCCTGGCTGCAAGCAGCTGAAAACACAGCAAAAAGTTGGAAGACCCTCAGAGAGAAATCACTGGCAACACTATTTTCCCAGGTCTTACTTTCTTACTGAGGCTCAAAGCCATAACCCAATGCTTTCCTGCCACCATTCTGATGATACCTGTTTCATGGATTCGAGAAGCTTTGCGGGTCTCCTCAGTGCATAATGCGGGGATGGAGAACAAAGGTGTGAGGTGAACTCTCTATTTGGTCTTTATGCCCCTGGCACAAAACTGGGTACCATGGCAACCATTTGACCTTGGACATAGGTCCACAAAGGGCTTTCCTGTAAGGCAGCCACATCACTGATGGACTTCTACAGGGATAAGAAAATGGAAAAAGAGTTTCCTGTCAATCACCAAGACCTGTCACCTCTTCAAAATGCTTTCTGTGTGGAGGCTTTACCTTCCATTTGCACTGACAATGCCCACCCCACCTCGGTTCAGCCCTCCTCCCCACACTCCCCTCTCTGTGTCTTGCAGCCTGCAACCCCTTAGTACACACTTGCAAGAAAAACCTCCCCAGCACACTGCTCCCCTGTGCTTCCTCTACTTAGAAACTGAAAATAGCTCTGCATTGCCTTGGAGATGGAGCACGAGTTCTTCCCATTTCTGAGTTCCCAGCTGTCAGCCTCACTCTCACCATTCCACAGTGGGCTCGGGTCAGCCTCGCCATGCTCTCTGCCCCTGGGAGCTGGTCTTTGGGCCTCCCTGTGCTCCCTCTGCGCAGTTTCACTCTTTGGGGCTTGACAAACCTTTCTCCTTGGCTTGCAGATGGTCTCCCTGCTATGGCCTCACATGGCTGTCCCTCTTTGCTGCACATGCAGCTCTGGTGTCTCCTTGGGTGTCCAGCTTTCCTCTTCCTTATAAAGACACCGTTCAGACTGGTTTAGGCTCCACCCCAATGCAATCACCGCCAAAGGCTCTATCTCCAAATAGAGGCACTTTCTAAGGTACCAGGGGTCAGGGCTTTAACATGTGAATTTGGGGGGAACCCAACTCGGTCCTTAAGAGGCAGTATCTTTCTCCCTCACTTGCATCCCCGGTAACCTCGTCCTATTTCCAGCTCATGGAAAGCAGGACTCCAGGTTTGTGGCTAGAATGTCTGTCCCTGAGCATCCTGACCCCCCATCCCTCATTATTTGAGGCCTGGTCTAGCCCTGCCCAACCTGAGAGGACTTCCCAAGCGCTGGCTGACTTTTTCCTATGACCGTCTCTAAGTCTCTAACGTATATTTATGCACAGGCCCATGGTGCCCACCCATTCAGGGGTTCAGCCTTGACCCCTTAACTAGAGTGGATGATTATAAATATTTCTCTTTTCTGCATCTCTTTTTTTTCATCTAGAGAGCAGTCCAGATTCTGAATAGGGGCATCTGGGGATTGAGAAAAATGAAAGAAAAAGACAATACACAGAGACTGAAGGAAAAAGCTGGGGCCAGGTGGGACTGCTGCCCTCTTCTGATGGAGAGATAGGGATCCAGAGCCAATGCAGCACATTTATCTTTTTTTTTTTTTTTTAATATATTTTATTGATTTTTTACAGAGAGGAAGGGAGAGGGATAGAAAGCTGGAAACATCAATGAGAAAGGAACATCGACCAGCTGTCTCCTGCACACCCTGGACTTGGGATATGCCCGCAACCAATGTACATGCCCTTGACCGGAATCGAACCTGGGACCTCTCAGTCCAAAGGCCATCTATCCACTGAGCTAAACCGGTTTTGGCAGCACATTTATCTTATTCATTCCTAGTGCTTGGCTGGATTTACATAATAAAACCCACCCTCTGGCACCTGGGCTGAAATGAAGGTCAAGCTGACAACCTTTTGGCAGAATGTGTTTCCGGGGCGTGGCTTTGCTGACCGCCCTGGATTCGGCTGACAACTTAAGAAATGCCCCTGTGCCTTCCCAGGCGCTCTCTACGGATGATGGGGCTGGGCCTCCCTGGGATCGGGCACGACGAAGCTGCTCTACAAGACTCCCTTCCCCCGAACGCATGTGTGCGTGACTTCTCCTTAGGAACCGTCTGGATCCACCTCAGTGAAAAGTTCTGTTGATGGGTTCCTCGTGGGAGCTCTAGCCGGGTCCTGGAATGGCCCAGGCGAACCCACGGGCCCCACAGAGCAGACGCCGGGAGTGTGGCTGCTTTAACCAGTAAACCTCCTCTTATCCAGGAGAGTATCACGGACCAGGATGGGAAACACCGTCTGCTGCTCCTCAGCTTCTCCCACACGATGATGGGCACCTTTACTACCTCGAGGCAGTCCAGATCTGTGTGCATTTTGTGTTGATCCCAACCACGGTTTTCTTGCCAGCCCTGGGAACACGTCTTCTGAAACGGAAAGAGTTAAGGCTGGTTATGTGTATTGGACACATTCCCCGGCAACTTAATTATTGACCCGGCTTGTAAATCATTCATAGCCTTCCAGAGGTGTCCGTATACCTCTGCTGGCTGGAAACGGGACCCTGGGCTATTTGTGGAGTGGAGGTTGGGGGTCAGAGCGAGTGTGAAAAATTAAGAATAACAACACTTCCTTTCCTCCCTGAACTTTAATCGCCCTTTTAAATAAAGCCAGCGCTTTCTTCCCTTCCTGCCGGCGCAGGGAACCTCCGTGAACTGCCAAAGCAGCTTCGGTTTCACTCACCATTCTCCCCGCCATGCCACCCCAAGGAAAGCAGGTGACTTCTGTTTCACCTGGGAGCGAAGGCACAGGGACCAGCCCTCCGGTCCAGCGTCCCTCTGGGCTACAGCCAGGGCTGTGGGGAGGTAACATTTAACAGTTAAAGTAACTTGTCTAATCCGATCCTTTCGGGACTGGGGAAGAAGCAAGGGCTTTCAGCTGGCCTGCCAGTGAGGCGTTGGGGTGGATTTGTGGTTAACCAAGGCCACACACCCAGAAAGCAGCACGAGAGAGGGTTTATACTGGCGGTGTCTGGGGGTGGCACCTCGGGGGTGTTTCTGTGGTGTCTTGTATCAGCGAGGCCTGCCTACTCTCAAATGAGAGGAGAGGTCCAGTCAGGTCTCCAGGCTGGCGGCAGGGCCCGGCTTCAATGCCTGTGAAAACAGACACCAACATAATCAAAGCGCTGCATTCCTGCGTCTAAATAGCAGCTAATCCCCGCTCCTTTGAAGGAGCAGAAACCACAGGTGAGAGGGAAGCCCTGAGTCGAATCAGCCCTTGGTTCCTTGGTGCCTGAGTCCCGCAGTTCTCTGAGCTGGAAGGAATCCCGCAGATGCCCCCATCCACCCTGCTGACGAGGGAATGGGGGCTGCGATGCGCTCACACATTGCTTTTGGGGGACACTGATGAGGAACTGGAACTTGGTTCTTCGGTCGGCCGGTCCAGTGCTCCGCCCCCCACCAAACCATGAGTTGTTTTTCTGAAATGGGTCTTATAAGGCTTTTTTTTTCTTTTCTTTTTTTTTAACTCAGGAGTTTAAATGGATACAAGGCGGAAATAGGCCCATTTTATTCAGCCAACACATGAATGGCATTTTTAAGGTAAACAGTTGAATACGTAAACTGCCAAAAGGTGATGTCATAATTCCCCAAAGCTAGAGACAAATCCCTCTCAACCTGTTCAGTGAGCACAGCCCAGTTCCCAGTCAGCTCCAGCCAAGCATGTCCGGAGGCACATTGCCCTCCCTGGGGAAAACTACTGGGAGGGCCGGGCAGCTCCTTTGTGCCTTAGAATCGCCTCTTTGTTTCCCTTGCACGTGCAGGGGCTCCTTGGTGTGGGGCGGGGAAGACTCCAGGAGAAGAGGTCTGTTGGAAATGTTTAATAAGCTTTGAGTGTTTTACAAGCATCCTTGCAGACTGCACTACAAGATGTGGCATTGTGACTATTTGTCCCCGCACAGAAGGTTAGAGGAGCCGAGATTGCAAAATCAAACTGCGCAGGCAGGCAGCCCTCAAAGCCTCATGTCATCCAGCCACAGCCTTGCTCGCCAGCCTCATCTGTCACCTTTGGGAACATCTGTTAGAGCCAAGCAAATCTTCTTTCTAAATTCCATTCTCGCTTGTTACCACTTCTGGCCAGTTGCGTTTGACACATTAATGTATTCATTTAGCATTGATGAAAATCCCGCCAGGTGGATTTATCATGCCAAATTTTCAGATGAGAAAACTGAGCAGGTAAGTGACTTCCTCAGGTTCACATAAGTAGTAGTATGGCTCGGGCTGTCTTCATTCCACAAGGCCTCTTTAGCGAATCACAGCATCCTAAAATTAAAAAAACAAACACCCTCTTGACCTTAGTTTAGAACTCTGTTTAGATAAGTACATGACCAGAGAATGTTGCTGACCCTCAAGAGAGTTCACACTGTATGATTTTAGTCCTGTGTCTGCAAATTGTGTGTGTGTGTGTGTGTGTGTGTGTGTGTGTGTGTAATGGACCGAATATTTGTCTCCTCTTTGTCCCCAGTCCATATGTTGTAATCCAAACACCAATGTGATAGTATTAGGAGGTGGGGCTCCTAGTAATTAGGTCAGGAGGGTGGGACCCTCACTAATGGAATTAGTGCCCTTATAAGAAGATGCACAGAGAGCTTACTTCTTTCTCTCACCTTGCCAAGTGAGGGCACAGGGAGAAAGTGCATAAACCATAAGGAGGGTTCTCATCAGAACCTGACCATGCTGGCACCTTGACCTTGAACTTCCAGCCTCCAGAACTGTGAGAAAGAAATGCTTCTATTGTTTGAGACACCTATTCTATGGTCATTTGTTATAGTACCTTGAAGAGCCTAAAACTACATACGTATCTCCTACTGCTTTCCCGCCAGGATGAAGCCTTGGTTAGCTTGAGGGTGAAGCAAGTGACTGCGGCTGCAGGGCTGGGTCCGAGCTATGGCGTCTTGAAGCACGCTGCTTGCTAACTTGTTTTGGGGGACAGGCCAGGGGGAGATCTTGTTTGCTCCCAGAGTCTGGGTGTCTTTCCCTGGCTTAGCCGGTTCAAGGAGGATGTATGAACTCTGAAGTGAGGGAAGCCTTTCCGGAAACAGATGAAAAACGCTGCCTGAATGTACAGCAGAAATGCCACTTCAGGCTCTTGGGCTCCCACAGGCCTCTCTCCACACCTTTGTGGCTTTGAGCAATTTGTGGAGGCTCCAACCCTTCTCAGGTCCCTCTGCCAGTTTCGACGCTTCTGCGGAGCCAAGCAGAGGAGCTCAGCAGCCCTCATTCCTCAAGGCTGGCCTGCCTGGCTCAGGGCAGTGAAATCCTGCTCCGGAGCACATGTATTATAAAATTTCGTCTAAAAGTTTTCTTCAAAAATTATAAACCGGGCTTTACAGCTATCAGAACACTGTTCTGTCCCTAAGAGCTGGCACAGTACCTGGGGTTTATGAGGAAGGAATTATACGATGTTTTCCTGTACTGGAGTTAGGGTGTAACCTTTATATGAGGGAGGTCATTGTTT